AAGGGAAAGTCTGAGGTTTTGAGTTTCCAGAAGAAAAAATTGCTGACCCTTGAATTTCTCATGAGACAAATTTCTAGAATTCCCCACTGCCATAAGTGTGCTATTAGACATTCCTCCATATAAAGCATGGAAGTACAATTACACAGTTTGACCCTTCACGCTCTATAAGAACACTTGATAGGTACAGGACCATGAAGCTGGCCTGAACTGGGGCTGTTTTGAAGTTTATGAGGCTTAAAAAACTTCTGAGCACAGACAACTCAGAAAATCATACTGATGGGTCTTTAGTTACAGTTTCTCATGGATTATTGGACCTGAATTCTCATTTTGTTTTTGTTTTTTGTTTTGTTGGTCGTGGGGCTTGAACTCTGGACCTGGGCATTGTCCTCAGCTCTTCAGCTCAAGGCTAGCGCTCTATCACTTGAGCCACAGCGCCACTTCCGGTTTTTCTGGTGGTTTATTGGAGATAAGAGTTTCGTGATCTTTTCTGCCCAGGTCATCTTTGAACTGTGATCCTCAGATCTCAGCTTCCTGGGTAACTAGAATTACAAACATGAGCCACCAGTACTGGGCTAGAGAGCCATATTTTAAATTTTTACATAGAAAATTGTGAGGTACAAACCACTCAATAAAAAGAGTGATTCTGCTAGATACTGATGGCTCATACCTATAACTCCAACTACTTAGGAGGCTGAGACCCAGAGGACTGAAGTTCAAAGCCAATGCTAGCACAAATGTCTGGGAGACCTCATCTCCAGTAACTAGCAGAAAGCCAAGATGGAGGCCTGACTCAAGTGGTAGAATACCAGTCATGAACAAGAAAGCAGACACAGCATAAGGTCCTTATTTTAATCCTCTGTATCCACAAAAAGTGATTCAATGTCTTATTTAATGTTTTAATTATAGATATGACTTAAAGACTGTAAAGCAGAGGATTATTAGGGTGTAATAGATTGATCTTTAAGATCAATCACTAATCAATGAGCTCTTTTCCTCATCTTGATCTCAGCAGGACCTGTACCTTTGCGGCTTGCCTTTGGGGTAAGAGAAATCATCAGTATTCCTTCTTCAAGGAATATAATACCTTGCCTATGTCCCCCTCACTACAGACAAAAGAAAAGGTATGTGGATTCACTGCGAGATTGGCAGTTCAAAACTACTGATTTTCTTTGCCTGGTTATAATGAAACTGTCAAAACAATTCTTATCTTCATTTATTCAGCCATAGAAGAATGGTGTTTTGTCTCATGAATATATTTTTTAACCAGTCCTAGGGCCTGGGTGCTGTCTCTGGGCTATTCAGCTCAAGGTTAGTGCTCTACCACTTGAGCCACAGCACCACTTCTGGCTTTATCTGCTTATGTGGTGCTGAGAAATCGAACTCAAGGGCCTCATGCATGCAAGGCAAGCACTCTACCACTGAGCCACCTTCCCAGCCCCACCTCATAAATCTTTGAACAAAGAAGTTGGACACATCTTGATTCAAAGGAGAATCTGGTGGCATATATAAAGAGAGGATCAAACATGAAGAATATGCATTAAATTGTCTTCATATTATCTTACTAATGAAAGTACATTGTTATTTGAAATGATCTGGGGATAAATAATTGTATATATATATAAATTATGTGAAATATAAATAAAATTATATAATATATATTACATCATGATATCATATATACCATATTATCATATGTAATATAATGCATATTATATATTACTTTGTCTTCATATACCTATCATATCAAAAAAGAACTCTGGATAATATGTAATTTGTGTGTGTGTGTGTATACTGTACATAGGACTTCAAAGCAGGGCATGGATGCTGTCCTTGAGCTTCTTTTGCTCAAAGCTAGGTCTCTACCACTTGTGCAATAGCTCTACTTCCACTCTTTTGGTAGTTTTTAGTAGAGATAAGAGTCCCAAAGACTTTCATGTCCAGACTGGCTTCAAACTGCAATCCTCAGGTCTCAGCCTCCTGAATAGCTAGGATTACAGGAGTGAATCACCAGAGGGAACTACCAGTGCCTAGCAATATGCAGTTTATGAAAGACAAGTATAAGTTTGTGATGGCTATAATTTCTAAATTCATACTATTAAAATAACTAATTATTACTTTGAAAAGGAGTAGATACTCTTTCTAAGCCAATTAAAAGTAAGACTTTGGGCCAACAGATTGGGAGAAGATCTTTACTAGCCATACAACGGACAAGGGTCTCATATCTAAAATATACTTGGAATTCAAAAAATTAAAACCCCCAACAACAAATCTTCAAAGAAACAACTGCCCAATAAATAAGTGGGCAAAAGACTTAAAGAGA